GCGGGACTCGATCCCAGGACCCTGGGATCATGACCTGAGCTGAAGGCAGACGCTTAACCATCTGAGCCACCCAGGCGCCCTTATTTATCTATTTTTTAAAGTAGGCTCCATGCCCAGCAGGGAGCCCAGTGCAGGGCTTGAACTCACAACACAGAGATCACGAGTCGGACTCTTAACCAACTAATCCACCCAGGCTCCCCTAGTTTGTGAACTTTTAAACTGTAACCTGCTGATACTTTGGGGCTACTTATCTTTCCAGTCCAATTTCCAATTAATAATACAAGAAAACCTGAATTCTCAGAGGATGGAGTCAAGTCCATGTGTGTAATGCCAAAGTAGAACAGTGGCCAAAGATGGTATAGCTTCCTAGAAATTGTCTTGCTAATAAGGAACTGGAAGGAAACTGGCAAATATCTTGTATTCTTTTGGCAATTTCGGATACTTAAAGTTGTTCCAACCTTGGCCTAGTGTGCAGAGGGAAGAGAAGAAAGCAGAGGGTGATGGACAGGAGCCTTGATGGTCCAGGAAATAAAGAGGCTGAATCAAGAAGGCTTTGGCATCAGAGGCAGGAGGGGCCACAGAAATGGAGATTGGAGGCTTCTGAGGCGAGAAATGAGGGGAAGGGAGGCCCCCCTGGGTGTGGGCCCTGAGAGAGAAGGCAGGAGCCAGAGATATAATCGCAAATACGAGAACAGCTTGGTGGTCTGTTCAAGGGTGGGGCGTGGAGGCAGGGCCAACAGCTGTGTAACAACTAGTTCCTTAGGACACTTCTGTGTATATGTCAAAGGAACCTTCAGCCCCCAACAAGATCAATTTGCCAAACTCACCAAAAAAAAAAAGAAAGAAAGAAAGGCATCCTGGACTCTTGTTCCCCGCTCCTGCATCCCTCATCCCCTCCGTCCTCAGTTCATAGAATCGAGCATCTGTCCGGCTGCTGGGAGCCACGCTTGTCTCCTCTTTTTTTCCTCACCCTACACATTCAGTCCATCAGCGCATTCCTTTGGTTCCATTTACAGACTTTCCCCCCATTTGGCCATTTCTTTCTGTCTCCGTTGCTACTGTCCTCATTTGTCATCCCACCTGGGCCCACCGGTCAGCATTTCTCCTGGAGTCTTTCTCACACTTGCCCCTTTAGATTTCATTCTCAATACAGCACCCACACTGTCTTTGGAAAAAGTAAATGCATTTTAAACTCCCCATT